CTCATTGCTTTTTACTAAAAGATATCTGTAACATGGAATAATGACACACATCAGTGAAAAATGGGTGCCAGCCTGTAGTAGCCACTTACTTTTTCACATCCATACTGTGCATATTTATATGAGAGTTTGAAATATTCAGGTATAGGTTTTCCTACACTTGAATTTTCTCATGTTCACAAAACAAAGACAAATTCGTGCAAAACAGTATCAACAACTTTCAGCCACAGCATCAAAATAGGAAGTTAGCCAGCAGACACTCTACAGCCAAGCTAGATCCTAAACAAAAAGTCTCTTTTGTACAAAGAAAAATGTTTTTTTCTTTTGTTTTTTAAAAAAGGCTGTAACTGGCAAATTAATTTTTTCCTCAATGCTTGCCCCAAGTTCAGGGTTATAACTTCCTATTCCAGATGCCTACTGCATTAGTCAAACTGAATGCAAGCGTTCATTAATGCAAATGTGCTTCCAATGCAGCATGGTGGATGGATCCTCTCTTTCTAACCTCATTTTCACTTACTTTTCTTCCAATGTTTTCTAAAGAAACAGTATTTTCTAGCTTCCATTCTTATCAAACTCTTATCAAAGGTTTCAAGAGTAAAACAAAAAATTTCAGTTTGATTTTGATTTTGTTGGTGGGAGCATATACCCTAGCTGATACTAAATTCTATCACTAATATTGATAATATGGTCAAAACAATGATATCTGCCTCTTCTGCTGTCATTATTTTAATATTAACTTCAAAATGTCACCTCTAAAAAAAAGTCTAAACCCTAAAATACAGTTAATTTATTTGATCATCTTTATAACAGGTACAGCAGTTATGACCATGACTTTGGCATTCTCACAGTCTTACTTGCTGTGTTACCTTGAGCAAGTTATTTCACCATTTTCAAGTTATTTAATCTGGTAAAAGAGGTAGTCCCTTTCCTTCGTAGAATTGCTTATAAAGATTAAATGAGATGATTCATGTAAAGTTTACTGGGCATAGCAAAATTTCGATAAAAATTAGTCACATACTACATGTATACTTCCATCAGTATCTTTTTATATTTTATGAAGTACAGGAAAATATCCCTAAAATGTAATCCACTATTTTGAAACTCTCAGGGATTATTAGCCTGAAATATAATGTTGCTTGATGGACAAAGGAAACCATAAGCTAAACACTGCAAGGAAAGGACTACTCAGGGGTACAACTTATTGAAGAAGGAACTGATTATTCCATTGACAATCTACTTAGAAATCTACTCATATCAAATGTTTAACTTCCTTGATTATCTAGATGTATTCTCAAAGTAGTACAACTTAATGAATATCACAAAATTTATTTTTAAAAAATTTAATTGCCTGTTATTCAGTCTGAATTAATGACATTTTAAATACATGCATCTACCTGAAACCCAATAATCATAAATATGTATTTCATGACTTAAAAAATATGTCATTCTTAAATCTTAAAAATGTCCTATTTAGGCCAGGTATGGAGGCTCATGCCTGTAATCCCAGCACTTTGGGAAGCCAATGTGAAAGGACCACTTGTGCTCAGGAGTTCAGCCTGGGCAACCTAGTGAGACCCTGACGCTATCTTTTTTAAGTCCTATTTAATTATTACAACATATTGCTTAATATGTCTGATGTATATAAAAATAGCCAGCTTCTCTAACACTAGATAGCTAAGGCATATGAAGCCAAATAAATTAGTTGGGTTAGTGTCAGTGACTGACTTAAGGTTTATGCTGGTGGCAGCAGTCACTTTCACAGGCCTGTATGGAAGTGGACTGTTACCAGAGCCCTCATCTCCCACCCAGGGTTTTAATACAGTTAACCAAGTATATCAATAGCTTCCTCTTCCCTTATTTTTACTAAGGCAGACTGGAAGCTACCAGTTTTGGCTACCCTAAAAAACACCTAATCATCTGCCAAGGTGAGGTATTCCCTCAAACAACTGAACAGGCTAACCTCTAGACTGCCAATGATGTAGAGCCCCACTGGGCTGCTTTTCCATCATGTGTTTTGTTTGTTTGCTACAGGAGAAAATACTACTAATAGAGGCTAAATGAAACCCATTCAAGGAAAAGACATTCTTTCTTTTTTGAGACAAAGTTTTACTCTTTCATCCAGGCTGGAGTACAATGGTGTGATTTGGCTCATTGCAACCTCTGCCCCCTCCTTCCCCACCCCTCCACAGGGTTCAAGTAATTTTCCTGCCTTGGCCTCCTGAGTAGCTGGGACCCACACCACGCCTGTCTAATTTTTATATTTTTAGTAGAGATGGGGTTTCACCATTTTGGCCAGGCTGGTCTTGAACTCCTGACCTCAGGTGATCCACCTGCCTCAGCCTCCCCAAGTGTTAGAATTACAGGCATGAGCTACCATTCCTGGCCAGATAGGGCATTTTTAACTACCTTTTTAGAATAACACTATTCTCAATCTACATTAGTCAAAAAAAATTTTTTTGGAAGCAAAAAGGAAAAATAAGTGTATGCTGTCTTACAAATTCTAATACACACTGTGAAACTGAAGCCTATTTAAACATTCATTTTTAATTAAAATCCTTTTTATTTACCTCCCTTCTACTTGAGTGTACATGTAATTTTTGTTAACATGGATTAAAAAAATTTTAAAGCTATGACAGTCATCTTTTCAACATGTCCTACATTAGGTATGTTAGGCATGGGTTACATTATTATACTGTTTAGAGTATCAACTATCCCTTTTCTTTTCTTTTACATTTTTATTTTTTTCATAAACATCAAACTTGTGCTAGCTTACTGACTCAGCTATCCCTTTTCTATACGAAAAAGGTGACTTGGCTGGAGCAGTGGCTCATGCCTGTAATCTCAGCACTTTGGGAGGCTGAGGTGGGTGAATCCCTTGAGGTCAGGAGTTCGAGACCAGCCTGGCTAACACGATGAAACTGCATTTCTACTAAAAATACAAAAATTAGCTGGGTGTGGTGGTACACGCCTGTAATCCCAGCTACTCAGGAGGCTGAGGTGAGAGAACTGCTTGAGCCTGGAGGGTGGAGGTTGCAGTGAGCTGAGATCGTGCCACTGTACAGCCTGGACAACAGAGACTCCATCTCAAAAAAAAAAAAAAAAGAAAAAAAGAAAAAATGAAAATCAAAAAGGTTGGAATGTATTGTTAAAGATCTGAAATACTTACAAGAGAGGAAATATAATGATTTGTTCTATTTATACTATATTTTTCTTCCAGAGTAGAATAAATGTAATACCTATTTGCCTAAATTATTAAGCTTCTCATAAGAAAAAAAAAAACAACCCTTAAAAATATAAATATGGTCAAGTTCCAAATGTCAAGAACAATATAAGTACTTTTTTTTTTTGAGATGTAGTTTCACTCTTGCTGCCTAGCCTGGAGTGCAGCATCACGATCTCAGCTCACTGCAACCTCCACCTCCCTGGTTCAAGCCATTCTCCTGCTTTAGCCTCCCGAGTAGCTGGGATTAGAGGCATGTACCACCACATCCAGCTAATTTTTTTTTTGGCATTTATGGAGCTTCACCATATTGGCCAGCCTGGTCTCAAACTCCTGACCTCAGGTGATCCACCTACCTCGGCCAACCAGAGTGCTGGGATTACAGGCATGAGCCACCGCACCCGACCTAATTTTGTATTTTTAGTAGAGGCAGGGTTTCCCCATGTTGGTCAGGCTGGTCTCAAACTCCCGACCTCAGGTGATCCACCTGCCTTGACCTCCCAAAGTGCTGGGATTACAGGTGTGAGCCACCAGAAGAAGCAGATTTAACAAGGCAAAAGTTTTACTACTAAAAAAAAAATCCCATTATATTTTTATTGTTATAAGGGAAAAGTCTTTTGCAGCTAGAGAATTCCAGCTACAACTGTTTGCACAACACTTCTTAACTCTATCAATCTACCTAGTGATTTTAACTACTTTTTCCTTTTTTAAAATAAGGGTTTTCCATTGACCTATATTTGGGTCTAGTACAACAGCACACATGAAATAGTACTTTATTATTAGCATAACTTGATGAAGCACATAGTACCCTCTCTTTCAGATTCTTGGCAATGTCACCTCCACAAACTGATTCCCTCCCCTACAGATTGACAGATTAAAAACAAAACAAAGCCACAACTCAATCTCTAGGACAAGAAGCCTTGCTTGCCAAAAGTCACATAAATGACTTGTTCAATGTTCCTAGGCAATTTAGGTACTAGCCTAGCTTTTAGGACACATCTCAGATAAATTCACATTAAAATACTCTAGCTAGGTTGGTATTTTTCTAGGAGTGGAAGCACATCTTTATACTGGTTTTCCAAATCTGCTACCACTTGCTTGGTCAACACATATACTAAAACCATGTAACCAGTTACATAGCTGCAAACCAATATATTAAATGCATTCTAGGGGTTGGGTGTTTTCTGAGCCACAACTTTGTTGCTGTTGATGGTGGTGGTGAGGCAGGGTCTTGCTCTGTCATCCAGGCGGGAGAGCACTGGCACAATCATTGCTCACTGCAATCTCCGACCCCTGGGCTCAAGCACTCCTCCTACCTCAGCCTCCCAAGTAGCTGGGATGACAGGCACACACCACCAATGCCTGGATATTTTTTTGTAGAGACAGGGTTTCACCATGTTGCCCAGGCTGGTCTCAAACTCAGGAGCTCAAGTGATCTGCCCACCTTTGTCTCCCAAAGTACTGAGATTACAGGTGTGAGAAATTGCATCTAGCCTCTGAGCCACAATTCTATCTGCTCCAAATTCCGGTGGGCAAGTTTTTAATTTTAAAGAAATACTCAAAACTATACCTAAAGTTTATGCTATGTTAAGGGGTCCACCCAGCCTCATATAACCATCTCAGGAAACCCACTTAAAACTGCTAAATAGAAAGAACTAGCTCGTAATTAGTTTTTATTTTAGGGGATTCGGGGCAACAGACTTGTGCCTCATATCCCCAGTTACAGCCTCTTTCTCAACATTTTTCTTTTATCAATGCACAAAAAAAAATATGACAGACTTGCCTTGTGAGGTCGAAAATAGAGATACAGGCTGAGAGGAAGAGGAAGAAACAAAGGAATCTGAAAGAAAATATACAGCATGAGAATATGACAATCTCACACAGAAATTTTCACTTTCACTTTCTTTTTGCTGGGGAGGAAAGCCAAGCATCATAATTTCATTGGGTTTAACAAGGCGGAAAACCCAAATCTTTACTTTGAATTATTGTTTTCACTCACCTGGTAGCAAAATCTTATTTTGTTTTCAAGATGCATTTCTAAAAGTTAATCCATTCATTTTTTTTTTAGTCAAACATTCTCACCTTCAAAAAAAAAAAAAAAAAGAGGAACCCCTAGCATTTTAAATCAAGCACAACTTCAAGAACAAATGATGCTACTCTGCTACTCTGTGTGGGAAAGGGAAAATAAGTATCTGAGTACTAATTAATATTTGCTTTTAACCATTCCTGAATACATTTTGAGGAGCTAGTCACTAACATAAGCATTTAAATATACCTAATTGGCAAATATGCAAAGTTGACCCTAAATATTTTTTTAAAAAGCACAATTAATCCATTGGGAAAAAAGAACTACATGAGAAATCTGTCTTCTAAAATTATACTCCTTTAGGCCTGGTGCAGTGGCTCACATCTGTAATCCCAGCACTTAGGGAGGCCAAGGCAGGTGGATCACCAGAGGTCAGGAGTTTGAAACCAGCCTGGCCAACATGGTGAAACACCGTCTTACTAAAAATACAAAAATTAGCTGGGTGTGGTGGCGCACGCCTGTAATCCCAGCTACTCAGGAGGCTGAGACGGGAGAATCCCTTGAACCCAGGAGGTAGAGGTTGCAGTGAGCCAAGATCGCACCACTGCAGTCCACCTGGGCAGCAAAGTGAGACTCCATCTTAAAAAAAATGAAGTAAAATAAAATTATACTCCTCTAAATTCAGCAACATACATCAAATTTAAAATGCACATATTCTCTCAGTCCCCCTGCACAATACTAAGTTACATTTCTAAGAATTTATCCTACAGACATATATTCATACATGTACAAAGATATGTGTATGAGGATATTTATAAGAGCTCTGTTTATAAATATCAGGAATACTCTGACCATCTACAGAAGACTAAAGTTACACATAGCACTTGCTTGGCCAACACATATACTAAAACTGGAAGGGTACACAGAAGACTAGCATGGCCTCTAAAGTTATTTTTACAAGAGTTACATGCAAACTATGAAATACTTGCTGCTATGAGAAAGAATGAGGTACAGCTATACCTTGGTATCTGAGGGGGATTGGTTTAGAACACCCCCCACAGCAAAATCCAAAGATACTCAAGTCCGATGTATAAAATGGCATTGTATTTGCATATAACCTACACACACCCTCCCTTATAACTTAAGTATACTTTAGACACCTAATACAATGTAAATGCTATGTAAATAGTAGCTACACTGTATTACTTTAAAAATTTGTATTTTTTAATTCTTTTTTTTTTTTTGAGACGGAGTTTTGCTGTTGTTACCCAGACTGGAGTGCAATGCCACGATCTCGGCTCACCGCAACCTCCACCCTCTGGGTTCAAGCAATTCTCCTGCCTCAGCCTCCCAAGTAGCTGGGACTACAGGCGCACACCACCATGCCCAGCCAATTTTTGCATTTTTAGAGACGGGGTTTCACCTTGTTGACCAGGATGGTCTCGATCTCTTCACCTCGCGATCCACCCACCTCGGCCTCCCAAAGTGCTAGGATTATAGGCATGAGCCACTGCGCCCAGCCTTTTTAATTCTTTTTTTAAAAAAATATTTTTGATACACAATCGGTTGAATCCACAGATGTAGAACCTGAGATAAGGTGGGCCAAGTGTATATGTAGATATAGTCCATATATGAATTAAACTTAAAAAGCAAAATGCAGGCCGGGTGCAGTGGCTCATGCCTGTAGTTTTAGTACTTTGGGAGGCCCAGGTGGGCGGATCACGAGGTCAGAAGTTCGAGACCCGTCTGGCCAATAAAGTGAAACCCCGTCTCTACTAAAAATACAAAAAATTAGCCGGATGTGGTGGTGTGCACCTGTAATCCCAGCTACTAGGGAGGCTGAGGCAGAAGAATCATGTGAATCTGGGAGGCAGAGTTGGCAATGGGCCAAGATTTCATCATTGCACTCCAGCCCTAGCTACAGTGTGAGATTCCATCTCAAAACAAAAACAAAAAAACACCAAGTGCAGTGTGCTTAAAAAGCAGTGTGTTCCCATTTGTTAAATAACAAAGGAACAGCCAAGCACAGTGGTTCAAGCCTGTAATCTCAGCACTTTGGGAGGCCGAGGCAGGTGGATTATGAGGTTGAGATTGAGACCAGTCTGGTCAACATGGTAAAACCCCATCTTCACTAAAAATACAAAACTAGCTCCATGTGATGGTGTGCACCTTTAAGCACTAGCTACTTGGGAGGCTGAGGCGGGAGAATCACTTGAACCCAGGATTCAATGCAACCTCTGAGTTGATTCAGTTCAACTCAGAGGTTACAATGAGCGCACCATTGCACTCCAGTCTGGGTGACAGGGCAAGACTCCACCTAAAAAAAAAAAAAAAAAAAGAAACAACAACAAAAAAACCACACCAAGAGGTGGTCAGGAGATTGAGACCATCCTGGCCAACACAGTGAAACTCTGTCTCTCATAAAAATACAAAAAACTAGCTGGGTATGTTGGCGAGTGCCTGTAATCTCAGGTACTTGGGAGGCTGAGGCACAAGAATCGCTTGAACCCAGGAGGTGGAGGCTGCAATGAGCCAAGATTGCACCACTGCACTCCAGCATGGGACAGAGCGAGACTCCGTCTCAACAACAACAAAAGAATAAAATAGCCACATGAAAAACAAAACCCTCCAAAATTGTCCCTAAATACTGAACTTTACATATTAACTTCCTCTTATCTTACAATAATAAAAATGTTTTCACAAATATAAGAAATATATTTAAACTAAAAAATTGCTTTAAAGGACTGGGCTATAGGTATAAGTGCTGATTTATGAAAACTAGTAACAAATATAGAGCTGCTTTTAATTATATGAAAAATGAAGTGTCACATTTATTCCTATAAATTAAAAACAGCTGTCCTTTCCCTATTGATTTATTTTTGAGACAAAGTCTCACTCTGCTGTCCAGTGCAGACATGATCACAGCTTACTGCATCCTTGACCTCCTATGCTCAAGCGATCTTCCTGCATCAGCCTCCCAAGTATTTGACTACTGGTATGCACCACTACACCCAGCTAGTTTATTTTCATTTTTTTTCTGGAGACAGGTCTCGCCGTGTTACTTAGGGTGGTCCTGAACTCCTGGGCTCTAGTGATCCTCCCACTCAGCCTCCCAAAGTGCTGAGATAACAGGCATGAGCCACCATGCCCAGTCCTAAGTGATACTTTAATCAAGGGCAGCTCTCCTGCTCCTGGTTTTGCCATGTGACGTGCCTGCATCCCCTTTGTCTTCTGCCAAGACTATAAGCTTCCTGAAGCCTCCCCAGAAACTGAGCAGATTCTGGCACCCTGCTTCCCATAAGCCTGCAGAACTGTTCATAGAGAGAAATTTTATTCCAGGGTGGCTCATACCCAGAGTTTCATTATACCTGTTATAGATAATTTAAGTAAGATATGGGACTTTTTAGGCCGGGTGCAGTGGCTCACGCCTGTAATCCCAGCACTTTGGGAGGCCGAGGCAGGTGGATCACGAGGTCAAGAGATCAAGACCATCCTGGTCAACATGGTGAAACCCTGTCTCTACTAAAATACAAAAAATTAGCTGGGCATGGTGGCACATGCCTGTAATCCCAACTACTCAGGAGGCTGAGGCAGGAGAATTGGCTGAACCCAGAAGGCAGAGGTTGCCGTGAGCCGAGATCACGCCATTGCACTCCAGCCTGGGTAACAAGAGTGAAACTCTGTCTCGGAAAAAAAAAAAAAAAAAAAGAAAAAATATGGGACTTTTTAGCCGATTAAATTTAGAAATTGAGAAGATGGAAAAAGATATTATAGAATGAGCTATCAAGCCACACAAAGACAAGAAGGGACAAAGCATGCTTACTGATCTGTGAAAGAAGCTAGTCTTAAAGGGCAATACACTGGACCAGTCCAACTATATGACATTCTGGAAAAGATCTGTACATTTGATATCAGGAAAAAAACCCAGAAACAACGAAACAACATAAATACTTCAAACAGCAAGAGTTTAGAAAGTGTAAAAATTCAGGGCTGGGTGCAGTGGCTCATGCCCATAATCTCAGTACTTTAGGAGGCCGAGGTGAGGTCTGCCGATCATGAGGTCAGGAGATCAAGACCATCTGGCTAACACGGAGAAACTCCGTCTCTAAAATACAAAAAATTTGCCAGGCATGATGGCACTCACTGTAGTCCCAGCTACTCAGGAGGCTTAGGCAGAAGAATTGCTTGAACCCAGGAGGCAGATGTTGCAGTGAGCCAAGATTGTGCTACTGCACTCCAGCCTGGGGGACAGAGTAAGACTCTGTCTCAAAAAAAAAAAGAAAGAAAGTATAAAAAGAGAAGTAATGTAAGAAATAAATTATATATGAGCACCTAGCAGATGAAAATTCTATCAGGATACACAGAGACCAAAGAAGAAGATCAAACAAAAAATAACAATTTTCCATCAATCCTTTACTACTTAGGAGGCCGAGGTGGAAGGACCCCTTGAGCCTAGGAGAGGAAGGTTGCAGTGAGTCGAGATCACCACTGCACTCCAACCTGGGTGACAAAATGAGACCCTGTCTCAAAAAAAAAAAAAAAAAGGAGGGCGGGGAAATAGGCCAGGCAAGATGGCTCACGCTTGTAATCTCAGCACTTTGGGAGGCTGAGGCAGGTGGATTGCTTGCACCTAGGAGCTCAAGACCAGCCTGGGGAACATGGTGAGATCCTATCTCCACAAAAAATTTTTTCAAAAATTATATGGGTGTTGGTGGTATGTGCCTATAGTCCCAGCTACTTAGAAGGCTGAGGTGAGAGGATTATTTGAGCCCAGGAAACTGAGGCTGCAGCGAACTGTGATCACACCACTGTAC